CTGAGTTAAGTGACCGTTCGGACAGATTATCACTACTTATCGCTCCCCATTGGTCATGTGACTCAGACTCCCCGCACAGTGCCTACCCCACCTTTTGTCTCTCTTGCCCCCAAAACAAAGCCCATGATCTGCTCATCTAGTAAACATGGTTGCAAACTACTTTTCAAGGTGTATTATGGGAAATTTTGAGTCGTTTTTTTTTTTATCCACTAGACATTCGGACACTCCTATAAAATGGCATAACTACTATATAGCACTCTATATAGGGGCGGATGTCAGACACAGCCAAGGACTCCTAAACTGCTGAGCTGCAATAGTCAGAATGTTTAAATTCTACCCCACAAAAAACACTGATCGAACACTCCAACCGCATCCCACAAAATGGTGGAACAATGCAATGACTCACAGTTTCAGTCTGATAGTTTGTTTACTAATTGGAGACCTAAACGGTCCCTCCGTGTATGATGAGGAAACAAAAAAGAGAACCAAAGAAAGAAATTGGAATGGACTTAGTTAGCTAAGTGGCAAACAAGAAAGGACAAAGAGATGGGTAGGGGAAGGTGGCCAGACCTTCTACATTCCCTGTTATGCTCACAAAAAACTGCTGAGAACGCTGTGCTAAGCAGTTTCTATTATGCCAAGATCAGTTTCTAGTATCGGCATCGTGTTGGAAGTTATGACATTGCTCATTGAAGCCAAGCTAAAACATTCATGGGCCTTTTGACTTGACATGAATAACTAAACAGTTACTTTTCCTCAAAACAACTCAACTCAAAAGAATTCTCGCAAAGTTTAAAGTCAACTCCTGACAATATGTATTAAGCACATTTTTGAACTTTAAATCCCTACACTAACTTTTTTAACATGTTCATCAGAAAGTGGCCAGTTACTTATGAACCCTCTTAGCTGATGCGTGTCTTTGAGAGACAATTTGCTCATTCCCAGGGTTTTACCATCAGCTTTACAAAGCCATCTTACTGCGCTACTACTTAAAGATTCTCCATGAGACATTGATTGGCAGCAACTTCCTAAACATTTCTGCATGAGCAGAGGAGTAAACAGGAGAGCTGCAGGAAGCTGTCACTCAGACAAACTTGTTTGTTATTTAAGCGCCGAGATGCTAAAATGTCAACAAGCAATTAGCATAGAAAACAAAGCTGTGACAGGTTATTAAATCCATACAAATGACCTCTCACGGTGAAAAGCCTTTTAGTAGAATATTCAAGATTCTTTTTGAGGAGAGTAACTTGTATTAATTTAATTTAGCTCCAAAATCTAATGGATTTAATAATCTCTTTTTAATTTTCCTACAACTTGCATGTAACCAATAATTTTGACAGATAATTCCACTTGTTTAGCAATTGATTTATCTCCTTGTTAGGTGCCAGTCTTTGTTGATTACAGGGCAGTTTTCCTGTAAGACTTGTATTCCTTAGCTCATGACTTGCTATAGCTCAAAATTCGTTTTTACCCAACTAACAATCAACTGTTTGCATGTGTGTGTGTGTATGGGGGAGGGGACTGGGGACTTATAGGTACTTGTGGGGACCAACAACTGGTCCCCATTAGGAGAAGTTATCTTCTTTTGGTGGGGTTTGGGTTTAGGACTAAGGTGTGAATTGAGTTTAGGTTAGGTTTAGGTATGTACTGGTAATGGTTAGGGTCAGGCTACAGAAATAAATGCAATATGAATAGAAGTCAATGGATAGTTCCCACAAGGGTATGGTGACACAACGTTTATAGGTGTGTATTTGATTCATTGTGGGATGCAATTTCTGGAAAAATAGCTTTTGTGAGGACTAACAGCTCTAGAACTATATCTATATTCAAAACATAATTTTTGCTCTTACTGTACAGTATTTGTGTTTTTTTTTGTTTTTTGTTTTTTTTTACTTTTTCACTTTCCTCTGCTATTTATTTATAACTATATAAATACATAGCTATGTCTATAACTGTGTGGACCTTTTATATTGCCAGATCAGGGGTCACAGGCTTCTCAGTGGAGCAGTGGGTAGCACTGCTGCCGTGCAGCAAGAAGGTCACAAGTTTGATTCCTAGCCCGGGCTCTTTCTGCACGGAGTTTGCATGTTCTCCCTGAGCATGTGTGGGTTCTCTCTGGGTACTCCGGTTTCCTCCCACAGTCCAAAAACATGAGTGTTAAGTTAATTGGCTTCTATAAATTCTCTTTAGGTGTGAGTGTGTGCGTCAATGCTTGTGTATCCTGTTTGGACTGTCCAGGGTGTACCCCGCCTCTCACCCGTAGACTGCTGGAGATGGGCACCAGCACCCCTTATGACTTCACTTGGGATTAAGCGTATCAGAGAAAGGATGGGATGGATGGATCAGGGGTCACATTTAGTACGAAGGTGTAAATTAAGTTTAGGTTGGGGTTACCTGTAATGCTGAGGTTAGGTTTTAGCTTTAGGCTTAGATATATGGTTAGGGTTACTAAAACTATTTCAAGCCCTAGAAGTGAATGGAAATTAATGGAAAGGCCAACTATAGAGAGACGTGTGGGTGGGGGATCAGTGAGGAAAATATTTCAGAAGATATAAAACTGAGAACCTTTTGTACCAGAGGACATTTTGTTGGTCTTCACTTCTGATTTTGCTATCAGTTTTAGGACTAAGGAGTAAATTGAGTTTAGATTAAGATTAGGGTTAGGTATACACTGGTTATGGTTAGGGTTTAGGGGGGTTGTCAGGGATTATTATTGTATAAAAAGGGTTTGCAATTAATTGATGGCAATGGAAGTCCACACAGCCCTCACTACATGTGGCAAGATGAGAATTTGAGTGTTGTTGTTGTTGTTTTTGTTTTGTTTTTCTTTTTATTTCTCCTCTGTTTAGCAATGTGTCATCACTTAAAGGCGTACCAGCCAATTAATATCATGGAGTCAATTTAGTGGTGCTTTCAGGGTAATGAACACTTACAGCATGTGATTGGCTTTGTGAGGAATGACCAATGTAGTTGTGTGATGGACGACCACCTGAGACAAATCTCTTTTCTGTGTTTCTTTTCCAGATTACCCAGGAGCAGTTTATTCTGGCCTCTCAGTCCCTGCATCTCCAGAGAGCGAGCTGTGAAGCCGTATATCCAGTGGGATTGTACGGCTGGAGAAAAAGATGCCTCTATTTCTTTCTTCTGGTGCTCTTTGTCACCATGATAGTAAACCTGGCCCTCACTGTCTGGATTATTAGGGTCATGAATTTCTCAATGGTGAGTTCAAAATCTCCTCCACAGTAAAATAATTTTGTACCTTATCTTTTCACTTAGTAAATGTGCAAAAAATATAACTTAACTTGATGGTAAAAGATTCCATCAGAGATAATTTTGAGTCTTTCAAGCTGTGAGTGAGCATCTCATTTTTCTGCTTTGCAGCTAACCACTAGTGATAGGAGACCATAAGCAACACCATTCTTGAAAATGTCATTGTGATTATAATGAATTCTGTCCAACTACCTTCATTATAACAACTGAACGTTCTTCATAAAAGTTGTTTTCAAGTTTTGTGTGAAATGGGATTTAAAAATCTAAAATGTTGCACCAGCTTCCAAAGATTAGACAAAAGCCTATTTTATTCAACACAACTTTTTGTGATAGTTTACAACTGTCTTGTTTTCCAGTTTTTTTTTTTTTTTTTTTTAGATTTAATGAACCATGGATTTTGTAGCATTTAAAAAAAGTGCATGCCCTCAAAAGCCTGGTCATGATGGTCCATCTAGTGTCTTATTGCATCAAGATTTACTTCAGTAACGATAAGCCTTGTTTTCCCAGTCAGGGAGATGCATCCCCATACCATCATACTTACTTAACTCTGCTTCATAACCTGTAGCTGTATTTGCCTTACATTTATGACATTTAAAAGAAAGAAATTATATTTCTAATGGTATAAAATTTGCTGCCGTTATGACTTTTTACATACAACTAAGCATACTAATTAATGATAATTACATAATTAATGTAAACATGTTCCACATCTTTATCTATTTTTTAACGGTTTTGTATTAGAAATACACAAAATATTGGGGGCCCGCTTTGGTGGTGCAGCGGTAAGTGGCGTGACCTCTGTATGAAGGCATTAGTCCTCGACGTGGCCAAACAGAGTTTGAATCCGGCCTGTGGTTCTTTGCCGCATGTCTCCCCTCCTCTCTTGTTCCCCCTTTCCTATCAGCCTACTTTAAAATATTGAGCCACTAGTGCAGCAAAAACCTCCAAAAAAAAGAAAGAAAAACGGTTTCTTACAGATTTAAGATTTTCTCTTTGTGTGAACCTGGCAGCAAAAAAGTAGCAGTACGAAAATACATTTGACGATTATTTGTTATTAGATTAACCAACACAGTACTTAGCATTAAGAATTGAAAACTGACACTTTGAAGCATACCTGTTTGATAGAGCCTCTGACCTGTTTACCTCAAACGGTTGAGTTTTTAATAATGTTATCATTGTCAAATACAGTTGATTTGTTAATGTTTGTTAAAAATGTACTGATTCTAGGATATTCCACTATGGCAAATGATTAGACCTATGACTGTTTAAAAAAAAACATAAATGGCTTTTTGTACCAATATAGAAATGCTAAATACAAATACAAATGCGTAATTAAAAGCCCATTGAAATGTGTTAAAAACATTGCCTATAACAGTTTGGGTTTTGGCCAATCTTTCTTTTTATGAGTTGGGACAACTTGGCAGCTGGACCCACTGACACACAGTCCGTTAATCTGAGACAAAACCAAAACCAGAAGGTCCTCTGGGATTGTGACATTTTCAGGGACAATGCACACTATTAACCATAATAGTCAACAATGTCCCAATGGCACAAGTTTGTTTTTTTGTGTGTGTTTCTTTCGTTTGCTGTGGTAAGAGTTTTTCTGACTAGTGCTACAACCTTTGTTACCTCCATCAATCTATGCCATCACTAAAATACACTTCAAGATCTCCATACACCTATAGATAAACAAAGAAGTGGAAAAATAAACCCTGTCTTTTGGCCCAGTGTTTGTTCATGCCTCAGGTCTAATCTATTAGTGTTTAACTGAATATCAAAATTAGAGAATTAGCATTCTCCTGGTAATTTTGAAATGTCATGGTTAATTAGAACTGTCCCATTTGTAGGTGCGGAGTACAAAAACCGTCTGCCAGCGTTTCCATTTCTTGTGGATTCACTAATACACATTGTCCAAACTGTACATGCAGGCTAAGATAGATGTAATTTTCTTCTATTTCTTTTGGAGTAACTCAACTGTGTCCAAGTTTTAACCATCTGACTGAAGAGGTTATACATGCAATAAATCAAACTGCTTTGGATGCTCAGAAAAAAACTAAGTTTAAGGAATCGAATGTCTCACTCTCCACAGTTAAGTAGGTTTTTCCTCCCCATGGATCTTGATTGGTTCTGGCCACAAAAAAAACCCTGCTCCTTTATTGATTTATCCTTTTTTTTTTTTTTCTTAAAGCAATACTGCATAACTTTTGACCCAAATATTAGCATAATTTGACATATATTATATCAATGCTATGTGCAGACTGTCGTTCTCAAAAACCTGCCTTAACTTAAGTTGCTGTAACTTAGAGGGTCAGATTCATCACTGACTGAGTCATGAGACCCAGAGAGTAGTTACATTGAACTCTGAGCTACCCTTAAATACCAGAGCTAACTTGGGTAAAAGTTTTGTTATCCAACAACACCAATGACGCTAACCTGATCAGACATATTATTGGGTTTCTGTTGTAGGATTTCTATCTAGACTTTGCAAGTCGCTCCATGACTTCTCAATCTGCTGGTCGAGCTGTTATTACATTCCAAAATATGGAGGGAGACTGTTTCATTTAGCTACAGTGCATTGTTGCCAGTTGCTTACAGATAATGCTAAGTCAGTTTGCTGCTGGGGGTAGCCGTGCATTGATTAAAGGGGGTTGAAAGATGAGAGATTCCTCATAGAGGAGGTGACAAAATACTGGAAATCTACAGCAATGGATGGAAAACTAATGATATCGAGGAGAGACTTGAGTAAAAATCGTTAAGAAAACAAAACAAAGGCAAATTGTTCATTTGTTAAAACATCTGATTCTCAAGAGTTTGGGGAAATATTCTACAGACCAGACCTCTTCAAATCTAGTGCTTGCGATCTGGTGTCCTGCACCTTTTACATGTTTCTCTGCTGATGCACATCTGAGTGAAATACTCAGGGTAGTAGCGGGACTCTGGAGACCTTTGCTGTGTACTGAGGAGGTAATTTAGCCATTTGATTCAGATATGTTGAAGCAGAGAAATCTAAAAGGTGAAGGATGCTATAGAATAATTAGACAAAAGTGGAAACAAACAAAGTTGGAAGTGTGTCTGTTTTTGAAATTTTTATAGTGTAAATATTTCTCTGAAGAGCTGCATTTATAACTCGGACATGCTTAGGTGAGAACAAATCCAAAATACACCTTTTTATTGTTGGAATCTGTTCCATCAGTCTAACCTTAATAATTACCTACAAACTCCAAAATAATTTTACAATCCTGGACTTATTGAATGTCCTTACAGATCTGACAAGAGCTGCATTAACCTTAGACCTGAAAATCTGATGAATCTTTACCACCTCTGCCCTTTTCATTAAATCTAAATAAATTGGTCTCATAGTGGCTTTTAGTTAATAAAGACCATCCAGACCATCATGTTTCCACTGTGACTATTTAAAGAACTTCTGCCTTTTTTTCCCTACCTTCTGGACAACACCTCCATGTCCAACATCCTATTTTCACTCCCTTGCTCCCTATGGAGTTGTCACATCCACTGCCTCACCTCCCCTTAAGCTCTCCAGTGACTCTAGCATCTGTCTGCTGTCATACAAAGACCTGCACTCTGTCCAAACCCTCCTCCTGCACTCCTTTGATTCTTGTTCTGCTGTCTGTCCCCACTCCCTGCTCTCACATATGATAATGCTCTCCCTGCTGTTGCTCTGCTCCTAAATTCCTCTATCTCTATCCATTTCTGCTGACAGCTCTGTATACCCTTTCAGCACATCCCTCATCTCATCATACACACCCTCACAAAAGCTGTCCTCTCACAACTCTTTGCTCATTGTGCTGTGCCTGTACATAATCTTGTCCAATTTCAGCTGAATTATCTGCAACCAAAATAATTTCCTGAACCGATGTGATGTAAAGCTAACATTTATCGTCTGCTATATTTGCACTTCTGTATTCCCTAACCTGAATGTTTTTCTTTTCTGTTTTTTTTTTCTTCTTCTGCTTGTGTTTTCGTTTAACAAAAACAGCATGGAACCAAATCATGTGTAAACTATTCAGCTGGAGGGGAGGAGAGAGTCTAAATCATCTGTCAGAATAAGATGAACAACCAGGTCGTTGAAAAATTGCAGCTTTTACGGATGGTTTTGTTAAGTGTGCATTTCTACACCACCAGCATGAGGTTGTCGCCATTAAGACTTTGTTTGTATCATCTTGAATTCAATCTTACAATAGCGGATAAGATAAGATAATTGAATTTATTAAAAGCTGTTTAATTAGGCTTTAAAATATGAATATGAATGATAAAAAAAACATTCATTCATCATTGTGATTTTGCTGAGATCTGAGGAAAATGTCAGACTAGCCCAGTTAGCTGGAAAATCTAACTCTGAGCTTGTTTTGACCAAACCAAGCTCTTTCTTTGCTCAATGTATATTTGATCAATTGTTTATATTCCAGTTGTGGATCAAGTTGGCTAGTTTTTAACTCTTGTTGGTGCGATGCAGCCGTAGAATTGTACCCATCACAGCTGCCTATGCATGCGTTGTGAGAAGTTTAGAAATAAAATATTTGATGCTATGAGGTTAACATGGAGCCCAGGCGGAAGTTCAACTGAAGAAACTCACTGCTTTCCTTCATCCACCTGCGACACAGCCAATCAGCTTTGAACCACACCTCCACGAAAGCCAATCGGCATCCAAAGTTAATCTTAAAAGGCCTCCGATCTACACTTGTCTGCTCCTGTGGGCAGGCGGCGGACGCGCTTGTGTGTCTTCATTCAGATGACAACATTTCAACCCACCTCCAGTCCCTCCTCCACCATTGTAGCTAAAGCTTCATCAGAGTGTTATTCCTCCCGGACTCTTACTGCGTTCCCTTCTCATCTTAACTGGTCCGGCAGAAGACCGCCATGTTGGGCCTGGTTCTGCCAGAGGTTTCTACCCAATGGGGAGTTTTTCCTCTCCACTGTCACTTCATGCTTGCTCACCATGGACAGGTTCTCTCAACCTGTGTTATCCAAAGCTCTAGTATCAGCTTACGCAATCCACTGGATCTCCCCATAAAGCTCAGCATACCGTCTCGCTAACCAGCAGTCTTCAGACTGACCAACTTCATCTATCTCCACTCCACCACCAGTTTCAGGCCTGGGGGGAAACAGCCCTGTTCTTTGCTCCTGTTCATGCATATCTATCAAAATTAAGCGCTATGTTTCCTGCCGAGGTCTGAGCACCAAAGAAAATGTAATTGTATCAATACATTTCTCCTAATTGTCCTTTCTCTTCATGTGAGTTTTTCAGATTGAAATATTTTGAGAGCTTTTTACTATATGCCTGGTGAACTAAGTGTTGAACATGACACCATTTTTTTTTCCCACTAGGTGCTGGTACCAACCCAAGTAATCCATATGCTCAGACAAACTGAAACAACTAAGCTCAGAATTTAAGTTATGTATAATAACACAAAGAAAAAGTATCATGAAAAGCCGAAACACTATTTGAAAGGTATCAGTGATCAGAAAGCCATTCCTAACCTTGATAGTTAGTTCAGTCCAAATGTCACACAGGAATCATTTTATGATGGATAAAAGCAACAAAAAAAAACTCAAAACCTTCATTGTCTCATTGTTGCAAAACATACTGATCACATTGGTTACAGAATGATTTCTTAATTTCTGAACATACCAGTAAGGGCTGTTTGGGGGCCATAAGGTTTGTGGAAAGAACCTTGTTTGACTATAAAATGGACACAAACAGGTGCTCCTTGCAAGATATATGACAGAGAGTTGCCCAATAGATAAAGACCTCTTCATATTGCAGAGGCACTCAGTTTTGGCGAAATTATATTAAACAAGAGTAAGACACTGAGCTTCTCACTCCAGACCTTTAGGTAGAGTTGTAAAGAGCATGTGGGGAGTGTTGTTCTTGTGGTTAGAGCAGTGCGCTTGTGCTCTGACAAGTGCCCAGTTCGATCCCCACAGCCTGCACTCGGGTCCCTGAACACTACTCTTATTTGAAAAAGCCAGGATAGATTTTTACTCTGGTTACATCAGAACCCAAAGGTGGACTTTTCTAAGAAGACCATTTTCTAAGGCTGTTTCCATCCTTCCATTTGTCCTTCCTTCAAGTATCTGCCTCTTTGTTATCTACCGTATATATCCATCATTTCATTTGTACCAGAGCTTTATAATCCCTCAAGTTTAATATTTCTTCATGTCGATAAAACATTCTAATTGATGCTTTTTCTCCATGTGAGTCTCTCCTAGTTGAAATCCTTTCATCCTTTGATGGCTCGTTCATATTTCTATCTATTTATCTGTACTATGGAGTTGGAATAAGCATAATGATGTGTGTTAAAGATTTGACAAGTTTGTATGAAAAGTGGACAACCAAATAGCTCTACTATTTTTACTATCAAATATTTTAATATCTATTGGTACAGCAGACAATCTTTCCCAAGAATATCATTGATTTAACTATATGAAGTTTGTCATTATAATCGCATGATAAACACTTGAAGTTATTAATGCTATTCTCTACTAGTGTTACTGACCATAAAAGTAATCATAACAATGTTTGCATCGAGCTTAAAAAGCTGAATACAAACATCTGTATTAAAATATTCCTTTTTTCCAATGAATCCTCCAATCCGCTGTTGCTACATGCCTCTTCACTGGCTGTCGGTACCAGCTGAATGTCTAAGGTCTTCTTAACTCGATGTTTTGTCCTGCTTTCTATGGATCAGCCCATGCTTATTCAAAATGCAGCTTAGCATTTATTTGTTTTATATAAAGCGCTAATCATCTGAATCAAAACACAGTCGGTACAGCTCAGCCTAGTGTCACTTATCTGATTTTTGGGTTTCAGGACGGAATGGGAAATCTGCAGCTGAACCATGATGGGCTCCATCTGGAGGGAGTCAGCGAGTTTCAGATGCCGCTATATGTGAGCGAGATTCAGTCCAGAAGGGTGAGTAGCTGTCGTTATTGGCCAGAGTGAAGATCCTTTTAATCACGACTGAAAGAAACATGAAAAGATTTTTCCAAAGCAGAAGACAGGCATTGATCCTTTGCTGTTTTTGTGTTGAGGAATTTCAATCAATTCATTAACAACAAAGGCCAAATCAAACAGTACTTTGAAGTCAACTTATATCAGAGAGATTACCCCCTCACCTCCCTGTCCTCTCATGTTCCACCATCCTCCCAATAGACTACCATAACCCACCCCACGTCACCAGAATAGGCTCCTCACAGCTCCTCTTAGACCTTTAGGAGACTATAGACTATTGGAGGGGGGGCTGACATGAAGCTACTTAATGGATTTCCAATCAAGCCCCTGCAGTAAATCCTTCTGCTTCCAGTTTTGACTCCCCATTTCTCCTCTTTGATGCTTAGTAAGAATATCCAGCTCAATTTCCAAAAAAAGTTGATCCACATTTCCTGCTCCCACGCAAATCAGACTCTGTTGGATCATCCTCCTTTTCAGTGATTAGACATGGCGCTGCAAGCAATTTAAAGCTTTGGAAGCTGGGGCTTCCCGGCTAATTTGAATTTTAGGGACGTCGATTGAGGAAGTTGCTCAGTCACGGGTCCGATTTGTTACAGCAGAGTTGGAACTGAGTTAGATTACCAGTTTGAGCCACGTGACTGCATGTTTATATTTTTAGTTACAGATAAGGACCCAGCCACTCACCATGATTTACAGTGGGCAGAAGCAGTGGTTCAGTTGGATTTAAGAACCACCTACAGATAAAAACTGCTTTAAGTTTCCCTCTTATCATCCAGTAATGGATATTTGCACAAGAAGCTCAATGAGTCACATAGTGAATCACGCCTTAGTGGTCAGTTACCTGCTCCCCTTTACTGTAGTGAAATAATCATATTGCAAGATCCACAACATAAAAAGGAAGAAAGTCCTAAGTTTTTACCTCCCCATTAGGTTTTCACATTTGTATTAGAAAATATTCTCATTTCCTTTTTTATTTAAAATTTGACTTCGCCAGGAAAACCATATCTAGGTTGAAAACCTATTTTTTGTTGATAGTCCAAGATGTGCAGCAGAGAATATAATGAAACAATAATCACATAATAAAAAAGTATCCTAAAAATCTAAAATACCAACTCAAACGTACAATATATAAACATAGAGAATCTCTTTTTTTAATTAATTAAACATGAAGTAAATTGAAGCACTGGATTAAAAATCTATATTTTACCTTCTGACAACTATAAACTACTTTGTGTCTGTCATGTAACATCCTAGTAAACTACATGTCATACAATTTAATTAGATAAATACTTATTGGATAACAATATTTAGTCTACCTGTTTTTTGTTAAATTTTTTGTTGTAAATAACTTTTTTTTTTTGTCATTGTACTATGAATTATAGTGGCATGGATATAGTAAGGTCTTTGCTTTTAACTTAATTGAACCTTATAAAGGCAAAGTAAAGCAAGTTTATTTTTATAGCACAATTCAGGACAAAGACAATTCAGACAGTTTTACATGAATTAAACAATTAAAAGGAAGCATAAAATAAAGGCAAGTATAAACACCTTCTAATTGAAGCTAAACGTTTAAAAGGGATATTCAATACTAATTATTTGGTGCCATATTGCACATGTGTTAAAACCAGATTGTTGTTAAAAAAACTGATAAACGAAGCAACATATTGCACAGGTACAGTTAATCAAGTGTTTGTTGTTGAGGCTGCTGGCTCCCATTATGGTCTCCAGAGAGTCTGACTGATCTATAAATAGCAGCAGATGCAGGTGTAACTTTATTGGAGTGAAACTTCGACTTCAATCACTCTCGCCTTGCTTGAGAACTATCAGAGGAGATGGTAGGTAATATTTCTGAATTTCTGCTGCAAAAGACAGTTTTAAAAACTGGCTTGTTGAAAGCTTCCCTCTTTGTTCTGGGATCCGTTTGAGCTGGCTAACAGTGTTGTCTTTCAGTTAAAGGGAGACTTTTATATTAGGCTGCAGAGATAGTGAGTAAAAAAACGACTCTACCAATGTCATTGCAGGTAGTATTAAAAACAGCTGGTTTGATATTGACCGATGGCCTATGTAAAGTGTTTACATCATCATAATATTACATGGACTGGTACCACTGATAAAGGCAAAAAGACCTCCACCTAAAGTCTTAAGGCCAATTTATACTTCTGATGCATAGCCTCTGCAGCCGTCAAATCTGTCTCTGTGCCCCGAAACCGTCGTTGCGCACCTAAAAAAAAATCCTGACTACACGTTGGACGGTCGTAAACCCGCACAGACCTCAAGCGGAAGTGCGCAGACAAAAAGCAGCTGTGATTGATCCTTGGTATGCCTTTGCAAATGTCTGTGTGGTTGTCCTTCTCCATTCAGTGCCGGGGCCAACATTTTTAGAAACCGAGGAATAACAGCAATGGATAACCACGACGAAAGGTTTATCAAGGAGGTTTGGAAGTACAACCACTTGTACGATGCCTCAGACATACTTGTTTTAGAAAATAAACACTCCTGCCGCCGCCGCCGAAAAAGTTCTTGTGACCATCCACCAAAGTTCTCGCAAGATCTCGAATAGGCTCCCTCTAGCGCTTTGGCAGGAAACCGCTGTGTGTCCCTAGAAATTCCAGACCGATGGTGCAGAAGCATACCAGCAACACTGGTTCGCCACCAGACGCATGCGACATTATGTGTGCATTTGCATAAGTATAATCCGTCCTTTACTGTGGCAAATCTACTAATGGCTGTCAGGCTCAGAACAATAGCACCCAGTATTTGAGGCCGACAGAAAGATCTATCATAACTTTTATTGAAGAGGGAACTACAGTGAACAGCATCAGCATCTAAGACAGGAACCTCTGCTGGAGGAAACCACAGGTTAGTGATCACATTTATCTGGAGGAGGATGATAATGAACGTGTGAGTCACTAACCTAGTCTTAAAGTTCAGTCCTAGTCCATAGAATGAGGTTGCTTACAGCCGGTAGGCTGCCACAAGACATGGCGAGCACCGCCCAGGGTGTCCCAGGCGCTGGTCTCTCGGAGGTTGGAGGACAGACAGGAGATCAGAACTCACCAGATGAAGGAAGGCAGGATAATCCAGAGGGCTAAGCCAAAGCTGGTGTAGAAGACGTTGCTCGGTAGTCAGAGCTAGGAGATCAGAGGTCCCAAGAGGTCCTGAAGGAAAATCCAGAATGGTGTCAGATCCAGGTTCAGTAACAGGCAGGCAGAAGTCCAACAGAAATCCAAAGACAGGTCAGGCAAATAGATCAGAACAGGGACAGGCAGGTTTAGAGGTCAAACTGGTCAGGATCAGGCAAACAGAGACACTTAGATACACTAGAGAAAGTCTCACCAAAGGCTTGAATAATCTGGCACTGATGACTGGTCTAAGCTGGTTAAATAGAAGCTGAAGCAGTTGGATCAGATTAACAGTAATGAGAACTAGGCAGAGCTAGGCAGGTGAATAAAATGAGTAATCAGTCCAGTCATCAGTGCTAAGATCATGACAAATGGCAATGATTACAGCTCCATTCCTAAACCCTAGGATGCTCCTGTGAGTGTATTTGAAACCATAATTAAACTGCAAAAAAATAAGCTTTTAACTATAAACCAGCCATGGCAAGAAGATTTCTCATAGAGTATTACAGCTTAAAAATGTTGCCAAAAATTAAATATACAGTTAAGATATTGTTTTGATTTTCATTTGTTTCATTCAAGGTTTTCATTGTTTTCATGATCTTAGAAGCTCATTTGTCCAGACTCCACTGTTATAGGACTTCACTGTTACTGTAAAGTGGAGAAGTGCTTAAGCTTAGCTCACACGCATGCATCTGCAGGCAAGTTTTAACTCACTCTTTCTTTTTAAGTGGTGGCAATCTGGACCTAAGCATATTACCACCATCTTTTTAAAAAACTGGAGTTATATTGCGAATGCAATTAATTGCCCACCCCTACAGAGGGACCATAACAGTTATAGTAGAGTCTAGGAGAACTCCTCAGCTGAAGCTTGTTTAAGATGTATTGCTATAGCTATGAAAAGCAATTTAAATAGTAGGAAAACGTTGTGGAGGTTGTTGCATACACCCCCTTTTCAGATGTAATCATAAAATTTCTGCAAACCTTATATACGTAGATCAAACAGACTAAAACTCTCAACAGCCAGTTGATCATCCGACTTGTATCCTGTTGAAAATGTGTGGAAGGAACTGAAGATTAGAGCAGGTGAGACATACCAGACATGTTCACAAGTCATTTTT